TTGGCCCCCCCCCCCCCCCTTTAAATAGTTAACTTTCAACAGAAAACAAATGAGTCTGGAAAGTAAAAGTGTTTTCAGCCTCTGCGTGAAGCTTTGCAGTTCTGAATCTATTGGTACTATTGTAATGAAGCAGGGTGTTTTATCAGCTGCCCCCTACCATTTGATTAGTAACGTGGTTCGTGATCTTTAATAATGAATTCATCCCAGTTTCCAGTTGCTCAAGTGACCTGCCACGTTTGTGCAGGTGCCGAAGTGCTTGCGAATGACCTTACAGTCCTGTATCTGTATGCACTCTAGCTGGAAGGCAGAGCACAAACTTGGGCTCCTAATTAGCTTGAAACAAGGATGCTCACAGACTTACAGTCTACTTATCAGAGATGCAGCATGATGGACTGGGGAGATGATTCAGCAGTAAAGTGCTTGCTGAGTGAGGACCCAAGTTCAAGTGGTTGTGGTGGTCCACTTGTAATTTCAGCGTGTGGGAGTCAGAGACAGAATCCCTGGAGCAAGTTGGCTAGCCAGATTAGCTGAAAGAGCAAGCTCCAAGTTCAGTTGGAGACCCGGCCTCAATATATAAGATGGAGTGTGATCACGGAAGATACCCAGTGTCAACCTTGGGCCTACACGTACACACACTCACATATACACACAGTGTTCCCTTGCATACACAAGCACACACACCATATAATGGAAGTTCATATTGTATACACCCTAAGAAGCAATTGTGACTGTTTCTTGAATATTTAAAAAAAAAGAAAAAGAAAAAAAAATTCACAGGAGAGGCTATGGAGTAACATCCCAACTTCTCTGTTTTGCTAACATGTTGCTTAATTGTAGGGGAGAAGAGCAGTTTCCTCTCTAGCCTGTACTTGCGGTTTCCCCTACTACCACAGGTTTCTCCCACCCTGAGCTAGAGTAGAGGTAGGACCCTCCAAAGCTGCAAATGCCACTTAGCCTGTGCTGCTAGATCAGAACGGACCGTGTAAAAAACAGCTTCACTTTTAAAACTTGAAGTTGAGGGACTGTTAACCATGTTAGAAGTGACAGGAGCAATTCCATCCCAACTTCCTCCATGCATAAAGAGGACTGTGCTGCAAAATGTTCCCCTGGACTTCTGTGGTGAGTATGCCTGGCCAGAAGAGAGGCATTTAACAGACTGGGGTGAACTGCTCCCTCAGCCTCCCAGGTGACCTTCCCTCTCATGTGTTTATACTCAGCAGTTTATTACCACACAAATGTTCAAAGTAGACTGTGAGAACTGACTCACAACACAATGCTGTGCTTCTAACTTTACTGCCTTTGCTGTTCTGGTTGGGAATCACAGGAAAAGGTTAAGTTTAAAAAGAACCCTTGTCTGAACCTTAAGCACAGAGGACTTGGACTCTTTTTCAATTTCATTCACAGGAGCACAGGACACTGAGAGAAATGAGACCACATGGTCCATTATTTTCTAAGACCATTTGGTCTCTACAACTAGGCACAAGCTAGACTAAAAACTTGATAAATTCCCATCAGCCTCAACCAATACTATTTTACATATGGTGTCCCTTTCCCCAAACAGGGGTCTTAGGGAGGCTTCCCATTAAGAAGCACCTGACTGACTTTCCATCCTCACGTCTGAGGTTAGAAGATCAAGGTGAAAACCCAAGATCCAAGCAGTATCACATAGTGACAGCCCTAAACAGGGTGTCCAGGCCCAATGCCAGGATCATCTGTGGACATTTACCCATGACTATCTCTAAATTGGGCAATGACTCTGTGGAACAGTGGTAGTGGTAGGGTCAGGAGCAGCAGTAGAAACAGCTTTTATAAAATAGTGTCAATACTGCTGAGGCAGCACCATCACACTTAAACACCATACAAACTGCACATGTAGGAACAACATTCATACTATGATGAGAACTATACAGAGCTCACAGCTACAATTTCAGAGCTGGATTGGAACTCCAGTCTGTGTTCTCCTTGTCACAGTCTGATCAAGTAAGATTGACACACAAAGACTGTGGAACCGTGTGCAACCCCGCTTGGCCTCTGCTCCGCAGTATTCAGGGAAGCCATGGGCAAGCCAGGACTGCCCTTTCCCAGAGGTACACTTTGCCCATTCTATTTCCAGAGTTGTCACCAGGCTCAAAAAGAAACCACTGTGGACTGCCATGAACCCCCAGTGATCCTAGCCCCTACCAGGCAGAAATCCTGCTATGTGCTCAATCAGAAGCAGCAGCATGCCCCCATGCTGAGCCCCAGCTCCCACACAATAAGTACAGAGAAAACAGGCTCTTCGATTACATGGACAGCCTGAGATCAAAGGAAAGCAAGTAAACAGCAAGTCTCTAAATTTCTGGCTCCAGATATGCTGCCACCTCTGCTAGCCATACTGCAAGACCCTCCTGTCAGGTAGCCAGGGGCCACGCCAACGCCAATCATCAGGTAAAGGTCAGTAGCATAGCAGCACGAGGAGTTAACACAGGTGAGGCCCATGGTATGCTTTGCAGTCTTGTTTCGGCAGGAGTAAGGAAAGCTAGGCAAGGAACGGCTGGCTTTCCTGGCTTAATGGCATCTCAGAAAACAGTCCCTCAACAGTCCTGTGTGTTCTCACACAGGTGCTGTGGGTACCTGCACTGTCTCCGTGAAGCAGCCAGGTTACCTAACGGTGGATTACGCTTCTGAGGCTATCACCATACAGTGTACCTTCTCCACAACTGGATGCCCTTCAGAGCAACCAGCAAGCCTGTGGTTTCGCTATGGCCTGAACCAGTCTGAGAGACTGTGCTTGGACGGATGCAGAAATAAGGCAGACAAATTCACAGTTACAGAAAAACCGGGCCAGAACCAAGTCTCTCTCACTGTCAACAGAGTGTCTTCAAATGACAGTGCAATTTACATCTGTGGAATTGCATTTCCCAGTGCGCTGACACCAAAGGCTAAGCAAACTGGAAAAGGAACCATGTTGGTGGTAAGAGGTCAGTCCACTAAGACTTTGCTTCATTACATCATGACATTCCACTCAGATATTTAAAACCTTTATCCCACACATACAAACTATGATATAACTTTGGTAATGTGTACAATCCTCTGGCCAGGGAAGAGACACAAGTTTCAGGGTCAAGAACTCCTCTGCCTGACCTTGTACAATGGTGGCCTTGTGCCATGCTCTCTCTATCCCCAGACTTTACTCCTGAAAGCTGACCAACCACTCTTCTTTCCTATGTTATCACAGTGGCTAGGTATAACTTATAAAGCCCACAGAGAAACCTGTGGTGATGATCATCTTTCTCAGGAACTGGCTTAGCATTGCACTACCTAGAACACCACACTAAAGCATAAATGATCAAAAAACTGGACCCAGAGGAAAAAAAAAAAAAAAAACAAAAAAAAGCAGAGAAAAAGAAAAAAAAAAAAAAAAAAAAAAAGGTGGGAGCGGGGGGGCTTGGCTTTTTGTTTTTTCGCCGGGGGGGGGGGGGGGGGGGGGGGGATGGATCAATCTGGCTTCTTGAAATGTGCTAAAACCCCTGACAATCCCTGACTTAAGTGAGGACATTAAACCTGTCTAAGAACCATTCGTGATTTCACCAAGTCATTTCCTTGAGTTGTTTAAGATGAAAAAAAAATCCCAAACAAACTGCAGCAACACATGCCTGCAGTCCCAATTCCTCAGGAGGCTGAGGCAGGAGGATGGCATGAGCCCAAGAGTTCAAAATCAGCCTGGCACAATACAGTAAGACTTATTTCTTAAAAGAAAAAGAAAAAAATCAGAAAAGGTTTCACATGATTCTGGAGGGAAGGACAGTAACTGCTTGTGGTTGGTTTTGTTTCCCCCTCACCCCTCTTTCCCTTCCTTAATCTCTTTCCTTAGAGAGGACTGTGGCATGCTGAGTCTGAGATCATTCAAGCATGATCCAAATCAACCAGCCCTTAACTTTTACAACAGGACTGAGGACCCAATGAGGTCCGGTATGAAGATGCCTGCTTTTGACTACTAGGGGTGTCCCAATGGGCTGTTAATACTCAAATGTCAGCCAGGCATGGTGGGGCACACTTTTAAGCCCAGCATTCAGTAGGCAGAGACAGACAAATCTCTGTGAGAGTAAGGACAACCTAGTCTACATAGCAAGTTCCAGGCTAGCTACAGCCACAGGGAGACCCTGTCTCAAAAACAAAACAAAAAAAACCTCAAATGCCATCTAACTGTCACTTATTCTCACCTGTAAGACAAATCAGGAATGAGCTATTCCACATAACGCATCTTTAAGAACACCTAGCATCTAGTACCTATTCAATGAGCAGCAGATACTGAGGCAAACACACGGCAGAAGAGGCTAGTGTCTCAATACATTAGTCTTCTATTGAAAAAATGTTTAAAAGAATGGCTGGAGAGATGGTTCATCGGTTAAGAGCACTGGCTGCTCTTGCAAAGGACCTGGGTTTGGTTCCCAGCACTCACATGGCAGCTAACAATGATCTATAACTCCTCCAGATCCAGGGGATCCAACACCTTTTTCTGGTTTCTGTGGGTGTTGCATGAAGAAATGCACTTTCATACCTGCAGGCAAAACTCTCATACATGAAACAATAAAAATAAATTTTAAAAAGGTTTAAAGGAAAAATGGCTAATAGAGGGGCAAAAGTCAAAGAGATTGTCCTTTATAACCAGAACTGAACTTCTTTCTAAGATGAATATAGTGACTGCCTGATTTCTGTACAGAACTTTTAACTGAGTACTGAAACATTTTATATACGACTTAAAAATGCTAGTTTCACAGATCAAAATGTATACTGTGTAACCTGAGTTCATGGGATAGCATCTATGGGCTACTTGGCTGGAATGCATAGGTTAGCAGCTAATAATTTTATATGGAATTGTATTTTACGATTCAAATAATCAGTAGTTGAACAGGTGGCATATACTTAATCCCATCTGGAACACAAAATACTTCCTGCCAGGAAGGAGAACTCAAGAATGTGAGAACAGGTTCAGCATCTGTACTTGCAGACCTTCATGAAGAGCACATCACAGCAGCACAACTGCCTTCTAAGCACGGAGTGGGCACTGCCACACTCAATGATGTCACTCTCCAGTTTCTAAGAGATGGCACCATTAGCTATGACACTTCCAAGGTTACAAATGACAGCACTGACATATACACAGAAACATGTCTGCACTATGGAATAGACTTGGTGACACTTGTCCAACACTCCTAACAAAACTTAAGTGCCTTTGAGAACACTGCTTGGTGTATTTAAGTAATGTTTCACATACAAAGTAATTCTTTGGCTGGGGATGTAGCTCAGCAGTAGAGGGCTTTCCTGCATGTGTGAGGTATTAGGTTCAAGTTCTAATATCATAACGGGGGAGGGGTGGTTCTTAGCATTATGGTAGATGGTCAACTGAATTTTTTAGTATTTTTATTTTACGGAGATGAAGGAGCTGATAAACTGGCTTTATCATATTCTTCAATATTTTCTGAATCAAGAGACCCCTGGGTAAATGTTTATGGGAATGGGCAAGCAGAGCAAGATCTAGCTGCAGCTCTAAATCACAGCTTCAGTGACATATATACACACGATTGCAAGAATGTGCTTCAACAGTGACTGTTCCTCTCTGTTTCCATCATGAAGAAAGTAAAGGTCTCAGCGAGGAGCTGCACAGCCTCCTGATAGTGCTCTTAGCCCTGCTCTCCATCTACATCACCGGGGTGTGCGTGATCTTCATAGTCCTCTCCAGAGTAAGTCAAAAGCTCTGACATTACCAGAGAGAAAAGCACTTCCATCTGTCCACAAGCTGTGAACCTCAGAAACAGCTGGCCTAATAAACACCCAGTTCCACATCTGCAGGGTCTTCTACCTCAGAGGACACTAAAGAAGGCCTAAGTCTTCATCACCGAGATAATTAACCAGGGCTAAAGTTAGAGTAAGCTAACCTATGGGGCTGAGGTCGTCATATATGCTAGCTTCCTGGGGCAGGGGTAGGGAGCAGGGAGGTGAGAGGTTACTGTTAGCCATGAAAACCTGAAGAGAAATCTTTAAGAGCAAAAAAAAAACTTAATGAAGATATTAGAAGCTGTCTCAAAATATTCAAAAAGACCTAAAGTTACCCACAAAAGAGCATTTTTGTCTGCATATATTAAAAAGTGGGTGTATGAATATTTGTTAGAATTCATATATATCCTACAATAAGCATCAGTTTCAGTTGTTAAATTCATTTTAATAAAAGCATCTAAATGATGTTGAAAGCTACTCTTACTGTATCATTTAAATATTAGGTTTGCTTGATCCCATTATGGCATGAGACGTAAAATGCTTAGAGATATTCTTCTTCTTGACAGTCAAAATCCAACTGTCTAAGAAACAGAGAAATCAAAGAAGACTCAAAAAAGGTACTGCCAACATTTATAAAGTGGTTTTTAAATTTTATTTATTCATTCCTTCATTTATTTATTTAACGTGTGTGAGTATTTTGTATGTAAGTGCACCTATGTCATGCAGTGCCCACAGAGGTCAGAAGAGGGCACCAGATCCCTTGGAACTGGAGTTATAGGCAGTTAGCCACAATGTGGGTATGGGGAACCAAACCCAGGTCCCCTGCAAGAGCAGCAAGTGCTCTTAGCTGCTGAGATATCTCTCTGGCTCGTGTAAAATGTATTAAAATTGTGGCTGATTGAACCAGTTCAAATGTGAAATATTTTAAGAAACACAGAGAACATCATGGTAACTTTCAACCTAAGGGCTCCTGTTTCCTGCACTGAATTTCAATGATAATGTTGGGTGGTAAACGGTGATTTCAATCTGATAACACCCCACCAAAAATTCTACTTCATGCACTAAAAATACAAGAGCTAACTCTGTGTGTGTGCGTGCGTGCGTGTGTGTGCGTGCGTGCGTGGCGTGCGTGCGTGCGTGCGTGCGTGCGTGTGTGTGTGTGTGTGTGTGTATCGGAGTAACAGTACAGAGGAGTAACAGTACAGAAGCTCTGGTGACATGCAGCAACCACTGCTCAAGCTCCTGAATTACAAACCTCCTTCCTATTTATTATTTATAGAAGATGAGTGTTCGGCGCATTTTTCAGGAAATTGCTCAAGAATTATATCATAAGAGATATATGGAAGCAAGTCAACAACCTGTAAGTATAGAACCCCAAAAAGATACAATGCAGACAGAAAGCATGCATAAACCACCAACCAAGCTATCGATAATCGTGTTCTCCTTTAGAAGAATCTTTCACATAAAGTATTTTTATACAGAACCCAATTTGACAAAGGACATTTGATACAACATTAAATAGTTCCAGGGCTGGCATCTTAGTGATATGGAAACTCAGAAATACACTGGACACAGGCAATGTTTTCAACAGAGGCCAAGGTGTTTTTATGGATTAAAAGCTACTTTACAAAGCACCCATGTATACAGGAGATAATAGGTCAATGCTGCACGTCCATGTAGATCAAATTATATATTTAAAAAAAAAATCATTTGTTACCAATAAGGCAAAAATAAACTCACTAATGATATAAAACATAGTATTTTGTCAGTCTTTAGAGTTTGGATACCATGGAAGAACATTACCTATAATGGGCCCTGACAGAGTTTCTTTAAATCCAGATATAAATAGGATTTCCCAGGAGGAGACATTGTTTCTACAATACATAATCAGACTGCTCATATTTAAAGTATAATGTATACAAGAGAGAAAAAAGATAAACTAGTAAACATGTTTTCCTCTATAGCAGCCAAGAAGGCAACAGAACAGGCCAATGATTATCAAGTGTGGTTGTCTTGCTTGCTTGCTTTCTCTTTTCTCTCTCTCTTTCTTTCTTTTGGGGGAGGGTGTAGGTATACTGGAGGGAGTTATTCAAAGTTTAAGAAAGACTTTTACTAGATTGGGGTATAGCTCAGTGGTAGAACACATGTCTAACATTCATAAGGCCCTGAGTTCTATCCCTAGACTCATTTTAGAAAAATCTAAATCTAGTTGGGCATAGTGGCTGGCACACACCTTTAATCCCAGCACTTGGAAGGCAGAGGCAGGTGGATCTCTGTGAGTTCAAGTCCAGCCTGGTCTACATAGTGAGTTCTAGGCCAGCTGGGGCTACAGAGAGACCCTATCTCAAAGACCAAAAAAAAAAAAAAAATCTAAATCTTAATTGTTTTTAACCAAAAGAGAATATGATCCAGCTAGGTGTGGCGACATATGCCTTTAATCCCAGCACTCAGGAGGCAGGGGCAGGAAGATCTCTGAGTTCAAAGCCAGACTGGGACACATCTATAAAAGTACATAAAGACAAAAAATGCCTGTTCACACTTGTTCTCATTGAGGCCAGGGCATCATTTGGGCACCCTCTCTCAAATAAAACCAAAGCCAGGAGGGGGGTGATAATCTTCACACAAAGAAAATTCAAGCTGAAACAAAGCCCCCCCCTCTTTCTATCTCTTCTCCCGCCCCCACCAATTACTGGAGAATGATGTCGCTGGTAATGTAACATTAAACATAACTCATTGTTTACTATTGCAGGAGAAAGACAACACTTATGAAAACAGAAGAGGACTTTCCAACTATGAAAGACCATAGATACATGTACCTTTGTGCTAAGTTGCTGAAAATCTAAACATCCACGACAGTATAAATGGACATAAACCAATCAGGTCTTTAAATTTTAAAAAAGCCCACCAGTGGGGGCTGGGGATGTAGCTCAGTTGGCAAAGTGCTTGCCTAGCATGTAGGAAAAGTCCTGGTTTCATTCCCAGTATTACATAAACTTGGCAGAGTGACACAGGCCTGCAATCCCAACATTAGAAGGTGGAAGCAGGAGTATCCAAAATTCAGGGTCATTCCTTGACTACATAGTAAATTTGAAGCCAGCCTAGGATGAAACCCTATCTCAAATCTCTCTCTCTCATACTCATACTCATACACATACACACACACACACACACACACACAGCCCACAAACATAAACAGAAAAGAACCAGTCAAGAGGATGGCAGAGTACAAGAAGCTATAACTAATAGTAATCACAAAAATATGAAAACCTCAAGAAAATTCCACAAGGACATTTAGCAAGAATATTCTGAGCAGTCTAAATTTTTTCAAAAATTTCAGCCTAATTTTTTTTAAAGTTATAATGTGTATCCTGTCTGTTTCATTCAATATGTGAGGTGTGTGGTGGCTGTTAACCTCAAGAAAATTTAAAGTCAAACCAAACCTCAATCCTTAGGGGAATCCAAGTCTTCCCGAGCATGGAAATGATGAAACAATTAGAATCAAGTAGGAGAGGGAAAAGGGGGATGTTTGAGTTAAAGAAACCCATCATAAAAAGTATCTTAGGACAAAAATGATTTCTTCTGATATTGTAATGGAGCATGGGACAGTATAAATTTTCCTGCCAAGGAATGTGAAAGTTTGAGTCATACTACCAACAAAAGCAAGACTAGAAGAGAGGCTAGAGGAAGAGTGCAAATACAGAAAACCCGAGCCCATCAGAAAGCCTCCGAACAAACAAGCTACAACAGACTGTGGATGTCAGTGTGGCGCCTGGTACAGCAAGGTCCCAGCATCTCACTAAGAAATGTGACATGAATTGTTCTTTGAAAGCTACTTCTGTGTAAACAACATAAAGTCCCCACAAGTATACACTTACAGTTAAGCATGAGTCACAATGTACTATTGCACTATAGTTTCTTTTAAAATGGTGCATATTCTTTTTAAAACCAGATACAACTTTAAAATATTTTGATGTCTCTTGGAAGAGTCTGACACTGGTGGCTCGAATCAGTGACTCCTGACATTTATGACAGCACATGCCCCCAAAATTGGAAAGGGGAGAGAAAGGAGCATCAACCTCATTTCTTTTGCCTATAGTGTGTGTGTGTAGTTACACATGTGTTGTATGTAGTATATACATGGATACATGTATATTTGTAACTTACATTGAAAAAAGAAATAAAACATGGCATACACAGCAGTATTTTGGTTGGTTAGTAGATTATTGTTTTTTTGAAAGATTTACTTTTATTTTTTACTTGTGTTTTGTGTGTGTGTGTGTGTGTGTGTGTGTGTGTGTCAGTGCTCACGGAGATCAGAAAGGGGGTGTCATATGCCCTGGAGCTGGTGTAGTTTTAGGAGCTGTGAGCCACTGGGTGTAAGTGGGATGGATATGTGTGCTGAGGATTGAACTCAGGTCCTCTGGAAGGGCTCTCTTAACCACTGAGCCATGTCTTGTTTTTTGAGACAGGGTCCCAAGTAACCTAGGCATACTAAGTGTGACCTTGACCTCACCCTCCTTTTACCTTCACCTCCAAAATCCTAGAATTACAGATACATACCGCCACATCTGGCTACACAGCAGTACAACTAAAAATTAGTAATTTATTCCCATATTCCAAAATACATGCTCCCAGAGGTGCATGCCCTCACCAGCTTTGAAATTACCAGTTTGGTGAAATAAATGAACTTCTGAATCAGGTGGCAAAAAGGGCAAGCAGTAATTCCAAACTGAACAGAAGACTGAATACATGTATCTTTCCTTTCTGGCACTTTTTACATTCCAGTATTCATTCCAAGGCTGACAAGACATTCACCGTTTCTAATGCAGTAAACCAGGAGACAAATCCCTAGTACACTAGTACTGTATTCCAATATGCCTTTCCAAATGAAAGCAAGAACCATCTCAAAGGCTTTTCTTCTTATCTGTAGACACAGGGTCTCCCTGTAGCCCCAACTGGCCTGGCACTTGCTATGTAGACCAGGCTGGCTTCAATCTCACATTGATCTGCCTGCCTCTACCTCCTGAGTTCTGTGATTAAAAGTGTGTACCACCACACCTGCTGATTTTTTTAAATATTTTAATTACATTTATTTATTCTTTGTGTATACATGTATATGTATGTTCATGCATTACCAGGACCACCTGTAACGGTCAGAGGACAAGTTACAGGAGTCTTCTCTCTTCTTCTACCATGTGGGTTCTGGGAATTGAACTCAGGTCATCAGGCTTGGCTGCAAGGCCTTTACCTACTAAGCCATCTCACTGACCCCAAATTTTAAACACTTTAGCTTTGAATTTTGTTTCCCTGAGCTTTCTCAGTTAAGCATCAGCAAAGCTGTGAAAGGAAAATAAACAGCTTTCTTTGAGTGTGTAGTTAGGCTGTATTCAGGCATTTATGAGCTCTATGACTGTTTCATAAAAGAAGTCTCAGAGAAGGAAACAGAGGCAGGATAGAAAGACAGGGAAAACTAAGGACCCATGGGAAGGGAAAGTAGTCTTTTACTGCTGGCTGAGAATCAAGAATGCCCAGCTCAAAATCTGATTTTTAAGCTGAAATCTAGCACATATTTTTACTGAGAAAAGAGCTCTCTATCTCTTAGGTCATAAGAGTGCCCAACAATACAGAATAGTGCTAGACCACTCTGCAAAGCCTGCTTTGCACTGTCCTTAGGTTTTGCTAAACCTGCCCTATTCCAATCCCACCATGTTTGCATCTTGATGCTTTTGTACATGCCTTTATATATGTCTGGCACCATACACTGAAAACTTCAAACACAGCTCAGTAGCATGAGCAAGGCCCTGGGCTCAATCCTCAACATTATAAAAAGCAAAAACAGAGGTACCCACATACACACAAAACCTTCCCTAAATCTAACAGCTAACAAATCTTCTCTACTCCCATAGTACTTTGCCATATTTCTTTTAAAAACAATACTTATTTTTATGTCTATAAGTGTTTTGCCTGCATGGTATGTATGGATACCAACATGTGTGAAGTGTCCACCACATGTGTGAAGGCCAGATGAGGGCATGGAATCGCCTGGATTTGGAGTTACAGGCAGTTGTGAACAATGATGTGGGTGCAGGGAACCAGATCTGTGTCATCTGCAAGAGCAGCCAGTGCTCTTAACTGCTGAGCCAGCTCTCTAGCCCCTAGTTTGCCATGTTTCTTATTATAGTATCCTGACATTACCTGTTACATGTATAATCTGTACTATTCTGTATTTTAAAACTGGGAGCACATTCTCATTTATCTTTGTGTTTCCAGTTTGGCACTACCCAGTGCATAGTGGACCTTAAATGCCGTTGTATGAGTGTAACTGAACTTTTCTATTGAAAAGATTCTTTTGGCATTTCAAAAGACGAGGCACACACTTCATTCCCTGACCCTTCATTTACCGACCCTGACCCTGACCCTTCCCCATAAAGACTATTCGCTAAATCCCTTTCTTGCTATCTGAGCATCCAAAAGAATTTTCACTGTAAAGGACTAAACTACAGCTTCCCATTAAGATTTGAGTTTCCCATGACACTGAAAAAGAAATAATCCTGAGATGTGTCTTAGACAGTTGGGGTGGCTGTGACAAATTATCAGGGGTTGAAAGGCTTATAATTTCTTTCTCAGAGTTCTGGAGGCCGAAAGTCTGAGATCAGGGTGCCACATGGTTGGGTTCTAGTGAGGCCCCTCTTCTAAGTTGCAGACTGTTCCATTCTTGTATCCTCTCATGGCAGAGAGCAGAGCTTATGGTCTCTGGGACCTCTAGAACAGGACACTAATTCCATCTAATCCTAATCACCTCCCAAAGGCCCTCCCTCCTAATTCTATCCCAACGGCAGGGAGGGTTTCAATACACACAAGATAAATAGACCTAGAGGTATTCTAGTGTCTACATCCTCTACCCTGAACCACATACCAAAATATACTAATGGAGTTTTAAAAAATAATTCATTCCAGCTGGGCATGGTGGCGCACACCTTTAATCCCAGCACTTGGGAGGCAGAGGCAGGTGGATCTCTGTGAGTTGGAGACCAGTCTGATCTACATAGTGAGTTCCAGACCAGCTGGGGCTACAGGGAGACCCTGTCTCAAAAAGACAAAAAAGAAAAAAAAATTTTTTTCATTCATTTTTTCCTCCTATGTAAAGAATCTGAAACCCCTAAGAGGAATATAGCTATGTCTCTAAGCTATAGAGTCCATACACCAATGAAGAATGCACTCTGACACAGTTTAAAAAAATGCAGAATACCGTCTTCAGGTTCTGGTTACTGCTGTTAAGAGTTTTAGGCAAACTAAAAGACACTGACAAATACTTCATTCATTCTGAGGAACTGTGAACAAGTATGCATCAAAATCAACAAGACAGACATGGTTGGGCACTGTTCAATATATGATCCTCTAACAAAGCTCAGAGTAGGCATTAGTCTCTTTCAATAGGTGAAGCTCTCATATTAATGTGAGACCAGGTTAACCATATTTCAAACTCAAACAGGGTCAGTCCTCTGAGACTACTCCCTTTCCATGAAAATAGTCCTACAATAGTCCTGCTTATTTCTATTTGGAAGAATTCCCACTTAAAGACTAAAAGTCGGGACTGGAGAGATGGCCCAGTAGTTAAGAGCACTGACTGCTCTTGCAGATGACCCAGGTTCCATTCCCAGCACCTACATGGTGGCTACAAACCGTCCTTAACTCCAGTTCCAAGGGAATTCAAAGAACTCTTCTGACCTCCACAGTATTGCACGACACGGGTACACTCACATACACACAGGCAATACACTCATACACATAAAATAAAGATAATAAATAAAATATTTTTTAAAAAATAAAAAAAAGACTAAAAGTCTAGGTAGGCATAGTGGCATATGCCTATACTCCTAGCATTCAGGAGGAAGGGGAATAAAGATTGTCAGAAATTCTAGGCCAGACTGGGCTACACAGTAAGACACTACCTAAAATCATAATAATAACAATGGTCTAATTTAACCAGACCAGTGACCTTATAAAAGAGTAAGAAAGCTGCCAACAGGCAATAGATTATTCTTTATCATCAGGATTAATGTCATCTATCAGGTACTGTAATACACCTCTGGGATCTTATCTACTCAGAACTG